CTGATCATTTATGTATACATTTGTCTATATCTATCTCGATTCGTTTTGCCTGTTACAAACAACCGTTATGTGAACAAAGTTATAATACCCTTGTGCACAAGTGCGCTCGGATATAAAAACAGGGGTATAGTTTTTTTCGGTATAGAACAATCCTAGGGGTGAGAGCATTAAATTTCCGATTTTACTTTTCTCCCATACATTTTTGGACCATATACATATAGTGGTCCCCAAAATAAAAGAATTGCGATAGTTTGACCGATTTTGTCTTTTTATACCCGAGCGCACTTGTGCACAAGGGTATTATAACTTTGTTCACATAACGGTTGTTTGTAACAGGCAAAACGAATCGAGATAGATATAGACAAATGTATACATAAATGATCAGAATGAAAAAAGAAATCGATTAAGCGGTGACTGTCTGTCCGTCCGTCCGTCCGTCCGTCCGTCCGTCTGTGCACACGATAACTCGAGTAAAAATTGAGATATCTTAACGAAACTTGGTACGTGCACTTCTTTCGGGCGTATGACGGATGATATTGAAAATGGGCAAAATAGGACAATAACCACGCCTACCTCCCATATAACGGTAATTTTCAGAAATACGAAAACTGCGATATTTTAGTAACTACTGAAGATAATTCACTCAAAATGGACATTTACAATAATTTTTAGACTAAAAATAAGAATATTCTAAACTTTTGGAAAATAGGCGTAGCCACGCCCACTTATGGTTACATGTGTATATCTTGGTAACCGCTGCACCAATTTCTTCCAACCTTAGCACAGTTGTTGGTGTTAGCACAGCATACTAAATGGCCGAAAATTTTTAAAATCGAACAATAACCACGCCTACCTCCCATATAACGGTAATTTGGAGAAATACGAAATCTTCGATAAATCAATAAATATTAAAGATAATTTACTCAAAATTGATGCTTGCAACAATTCTTTACCAAGAAATACGTTTATGATAAAATTTTGGAAAATGGGCGTGGCACCGCCCACTTATGATCACATACATGTATCTCGGTAACCGTTCTACCAATTTGTACCAAACTCGGTATGGTTTTTGTGCTTGCCACATAGAAGCAAAACGTTGAAAATTATTGGAATCAGATTCATTTTACGACCACTTTTCATATAACGGCATATTTCAGAAATGCTCGAAACTTCAATATTTCGATATTTAAGGACGCTAATTTACTCAAAATTGATACACACCGGCTTACCATGTAGTGGTAGCTTTCGCAAAGGTGAAAATCATATACTTAGTACCTGCGCCGGGTATTTAATGTTCGGCTCTGCCCGAACTTAGACTTTCTTACTTGTTTGTTATAAATGTCTAGCTGGTATACAAGAAACACCATATAAATTCAGATTTCAAACTTTGTACAAAAATTAGAAAAATTCTGCTTATTTTCACCAAAATTTCAAACTTTTAAATCAGAAT